TCGAGTTTTATAAAACGATTCTCGAGCTTTATAAGACGATTTCTCGAGTTTTATAAAGCGATTCTCGAGTTTTATAAAATGATTTCTCGAGTTTTATAAAGCGATTCTCGAGTTTTATAAAACGATTTCTCGAGTTTTATAAAACGATTCTCCAGTTTTATAAAACGATTCTCGAGCTTTATAAAACGATTCTCGAGCTCTATAAAACGATTTCTCGAGTTTTATAAAACTGTTCATTTTGTATTCTTGCGGAAAGTTTTGGCTATTAATTCCGTCGTACCGATTTTGACCCCAACAAAAAGCACGCATGATGAATAAAAATTAACAACAACAAAAATATTCCAATAAATTGAGACAATTTAACTTAATTCATTCATTATGTTATATGTTTTATACCAATTAATGAATCTAATTATTTTCTCTTAACATAATTCATTAATTTTGTAACTGTTTAGACTAATTAATGAATTGAATTATTCTCAAACTATGTCAGATTTCTGTCATATCAAACATATATCATCATCAATATCTATCTATCTCCTAAATATCATTTCTCTTCTTCCAGTCTCTTAAATGACAGATTCAAGGTTTCTTTCGCTACCAGAAGAACTGCAAGCGAAGGTGCTCCAACACGTGGCTAGAGGATCCATCACAGTTCTTGCCACAGTCAAGTTGACATGCAAGCAACGTGCCTTTGAACTTCAGTCTATAGAGCCTTTGATCTAATCAACGTGCATTTGAACTTTACTGGATCAGATATAACTCAAATAGTTAATGTAACTCAATTTTTACATTTGAAGCGTTAAATATAAAACGATACAATTAATTACTACTGAAACGAATATTTGGTGAATATAACACTTGAAAATAATTTAATCATATAAAGATAATCAAATTGTATACATAATCATTATAACTAATATTTTAATCTCAAGAGTCATATTTTACCAAACTTCCATGGTATTATTCATCTATACACATGGAAAATTAAAAGGCACGACTCTTGAATTTTCCCTTCTATATAAACTGTACATTGAGTCTTTTTTACCAAACCTAACATCTCTCTTCTTCTCCAATTTAGTCTCTCTAATAATCGGTTAGTAAGTTTCTTTTTGCCCTTCTTTTTGTAATGAGTATTGCAAGTAGATCAGTTTAGTGTTTCTTTTGTTTATGCAATCAAGGTTTCTTAACTTTGTTAGCCATTTATCTTTGTTTGTTGAAAAAAACATGTTGATCATCTTTCTAGAGTTATCAAGAATTTGAAGAAATTTAGTTGACGACTTTTTGAACATTATAGATCATCATGTATTATAGATTATGAGATTCTAGGAAATCGTTTTTAAGAAATACTTGTTATTGTTAGAAATTTTTTGTTTCACTTACATACTCTTTTTATAATTCAATACTCTATATATGAATATGCAAAAGATCTCGTGATGTCATTTAACAAGGACCTTAAACTCAAAACTCCCATGGTTGAAGATTATGGTTCTTCTGTAAAATAGGTGTTCGACATGGGAAAGAAGGTGATCCAGAAGCATTACTGAGCCAAGCTATTTATGCACAAGCAACTATATGATTTACTCATAGCGAAACATGCTGAAGAGCTTGAAGTCTCTCGAATAGAAGGTAAACATGAACTTTTTCATGAACTCTTCAACATGGCTGCCTTGACCAATGAGAAAGAGAAGCTAGAGTCCGAACTTGTGATGGTAGAGGCGAAGAGGTTTATGTGAAGGTTCCTATCATCGATTGGTACAAGTTGGGCTAGCCAAAAATGTTTGATTAACATGTTTGCTGTCATAATCTCTTCAAGTTTGAAACGTTTTATGTTTTGTGTTATTACGGTTATGTATTTTGGAACATATTTTCTGGTTTTTAAAACCAGTTTTCCTTTTATGTTGTTCGACTAATCTAAACATATATATTAGTTTTTTATATAAGCTTCTTAATTATTTTCATCTCATTTTATTTTCTGTTATTGTGATTGCTTATAAATCGTTTTCATGTTTTTTTTTAAAATATCGCTTTGATTTTGTTTAATTTTTTAGAGTAGTATCCATGTGCTTAATGATGACTGTCATACTGTCATATGAATTAGCTGTTACCAAATTGTAGTAAATGTATTTGATGTTTAATCCATCATTTTTTAAAACTTAGAGCATATTTAAAACAAAATATAAAGTCAGTTTAAGAACAGAAAAATAGAGTTTTGGAACTGTTATACCTAGGTTTACCAAGTTATACTTGGCAAGGAAACGGCCGGTTATCGGCAGTGATTTTAAACACCTAAAATCTAATCTTCCCAATGTTTATATTCACATATAGATTTCTTTTATATATAATATTTTTACTTGTCTTTGGAGTATATATTATAATTATTACAATTTATTACTATTGAATATTATAGCCTTAACATAAGGATTGTTATACAACACATTGTATGGTTAGGCTTTGAGAATTTAGCTATAATAACACGGTAAAACAATTATAAATTTGGTTGGGAACATTAGTTTGTATGTGTAGACGCAAAATAGGTACATAATTATTGGTTGTTATTGTTTTATTGATAAAAATCAATGAACCAGATCTGTTGGCTTACTTCATCTCACTGATTGGCTGTTACTTCATTTTATTTTAATGGGGTTCAACCTAATATCAGCCGCTAGATTAGACAAAATCAACGGACCAGAGCACTTGTTTTTCTTCATCTCTCTGATTGCCTGTTACATTTATCACGTGGATCACTATCTCAACTATAAATTTGACAAAATCAACGAACCATATCTTTCAGACCTCTTCCTCTCCCTCCCTTCCTTCTAATTTCCATACTAGAAAAGTATTGTTAAAAAAAAAAATTCTAATTTTGTTTATAATATTTTGTTTATAACGAATGATTTTTCTTTTGGAGAGAAAACCATCAAACATTTAATTTGAGGTCGTTTTCAGTGGCAGACAGGAAAGACATATGGAAACGAGAAGGCAAGCCAATGATGTTTCAGAAAGGAAACCGCTAGATTAAAAAAACCTCAGTTGTGAGAGAAAGAGTCTCAAAAAATTGTCATATAGTAGGGGAGTATTTTCGACAATACTATACGGCTAGACTGAAAAACCACAGTTCAAAATTAATTTTACTTTACCTTTTCAATAAAGTTTTAATAGATAATAATGATAAGCTGTAAATTTCAAGAAAATTAATTGTATTTACTAACGCAAAACATGCACTGATTACAAACGGAGAGAGTTTTATAAATTTTTGAAACTAAAAATAGTAATTTAGTGTTTTTAATACTAGTGTTCTCCAAAAACGGATATTTTTATTTATAGTAACTGTTTTCCACTGTCTTAAACTGGCTGCGGCCTTGCCATACCTTCTTCTTCTTTTTTTGTGTGGCTCTTTGCCTCTTTCTGACTAGATAACTCCCTTTGTTTTCCCATTTTCATATAAAATAATGTTAGGTCTTTGGAAATTGGTTAAATTAATAAATTGAATGATAGATTTTCTTAAATAAAAATTTCTAAAACATTTTCATTTTTATGCAAAACTATTTACAATTAGAAACAGTAGTTAATAATAGTTATTTTAAGATTATTCGAGTTAATTTGAAGAGTCAAATAGGCCAACGGAAAAGACATGACTCTAGAACATTTCTTTCTTTATAAACTGTACTTTTTTCCATTTACCAAACCTAATATCTCTCAGACATTTTCTCTCCAGTTCTCTCTTAATCTCTCAACATCTCTGATGAAGTTTTTCTTGACCTTTATTTTAACAACTCACATGAACATTAATTTAATCTGTGATATACTATTATCGAATCAGGATTCATAAGTATTTATTTCGTGCATCTTAGTTTGTTGAATAAAACATGTAGATCATCTCTCTAGGGTTATACTAAATTATTTTCTCTTTTTTTTTTGTTATATAGCATCATGGATGGTAGATTTTAGAGAATCTAAATTAAGACATATATCCTATTGTTAGTGAATACTAGTTGTCTATGTTATAGACATGAATGATTAAGGCCTTTATGGATTTATGAGTAATCTTTTTATTTGTTAACCAATATTTTGTATATAAACATGAAGGGTAAGATCTTGCGATGGCATTCAACAGAGACCTAAAACTCAAAAGTCCGATGGTTGAAAAATCCGGTTCTTCTCTCGAAGAGGCTTTCACCAATGGAATGAGTGAATGTAGGGAGCACTTCCGAGCCATGCTGTTCATGTGCAAACAACAGTTGGAAGCCACCATAGCCAAGCATGCTGAAGAAGTTGAAGTCTATCGAGTTCAAGGTAAACTTGAGTTACTTGAAGAACTCTTCAGCGTGGAGGTAGTGAGAAGTGAGAAGGAGAAGCTAGAGTCCAAACTTGTGCTCGCACGGGCGAATATGGATATTGTTAAGGTTCCTTATATTGATTGGTTCAAGTTGGGTGAGCCACAAATGTTTGACTAACCCTTTTCTTTCATAATCCCTCCAGCTTTGAAATGTTTTAGTTTGTTTGTTAATTCGGCTACAAATTTCGGAACTTATTTTCTAGTTTTTTAAACGAGTTTTTAGTTAATGTTGTTATGTTCTGGACCTAAACTTATTTTTAGTTTATGTTAATTTTCTTCTATATCTCATTCCAGTCTTTGTTGTTTTGATTGATGATAATTATACACAGTATCCTCAACTGGAAAACTATGTTAATGTAGCAAATGATATTTTCAAAAAAAAGAAAGAAATTTGGTAGCCATAATTAGCATGTTGATTCCATCAACTGTTAAAATTTACGGTTATTCATTATTAGTTGATAAAAAGTGCATTGAAAATCTAAAAAATATATTTTTGAAACAAGACTTTTTTTTTAGAATATGCATATTTTTGAAACAAAGGGAATATTGTTTTCTTGATAAAAATCAATGAACTAGATCTCTTGACTTACTTCATCTCACTGATTGACTGTTACTTCATTTTATTTTAATGGGGTTTAACCTATTATCAGTCGCTAGATTAGATAAAATCAACGGAGCAGATCTTTCGGACCTCTTCCTCTCTCTCCCTTTCTTCTAATTTTCGTACTAGAAAAGTATTGTAAACAAAATAATATTTTTATAATTTTGTTTATAATAATTTTTTTTCATAATGAATGACTTGAAAAGATAAGGATGTAGACATATGGAAACAAAATGGCAAGGCAATGATGTTTCAGCAAGGGAACCGCTAGATTAAAAAACCTCAGTTGTGAGAGAAAGGGTTTCAAAGAATTGTCTTATCGTAGAGGAGTATTTTTGACAATACTATATGGCTTGTTTGCACTCTAGGCAGACGTAATCATTCCGTATGGACAGCTACTCCCCCTATAAGTTCCATTTTGCTGTATCCAACCCATTTATCCATTTATCTTCAAAAGTTCATTTTCTTTCATAATTTTTCATGTTTGCTAATTTTACATAACTATTTGTTTTAACAATAGTCTAACACAATTATTATTTCAGATAAATTAAACATTATCATTAATTATTACATAACATGAATAGACAAACATAAAAGATCATTTTTTTTTAAATACCATATATGTCGTTTTCTGTTAGTGATTAACATAAGTGTTTAGAATTAAAAGATAAACTTATTTGTTGTTGATTCTTTTTCATGGAATTAAAAGTTTTAAAAAATAAATATCCATATGCTCTTTGATATAAACATCTGATTAAATGAAAATAATAGACAGTATTTTGATATTAATTGGATAGTATTAACGCATCTAATTTATTTTGGCAGAAGATAAGAATGTGTATAAGTTAAGTACCAATTTACAATTAAAAAAGACTGTTTTAAAAAATGAAGATATGCACAGTAGATCTACAAATTTTTTTTTTTTATATATATATATATATATACTTCCTTATCTTGTCAAGTCAAATCATGAAATTTGACATATATTTAAAATTTAACGATCACATATATAAAGTTAAAAAAAGTTTATGGTGCAATGCCCAAATCGATGTAAAAAAGGATATTTTCGAAGAGTTTTCTTGTCAATATTAATACTCTCCGGCTCGTTTAAATGATTTAAAGTTTTTTAAATTATGTAAATTTGATTTTAAATTCCACTGCATTTTTTATAAAAACACTTTATAAATGAAAATAATATTGTGAAAGATGAAAAAGGAAATGGCAAGGCAACAATTTGCATCAGCAAGAACAACCGTCCAATAAGAGTAATTCTTGGGTTCACCCCCTAAGGTTTAAGATTAATCCAATGTTTGAGGATTTACCCAAGAGTTTATGGTTTATGATTTAGGGTTTAGTTTTTTGCTGACGGTATTAAAAATATTTTTTAAAAGTTTTTTGTTTGCAACTACTATTAGTTTTTATATTTTTATTTTAGAAACATAATATAATTCGATGATATTTTCTTTTCTTTTTTAAAAGATACTGAATATGAAATAATGAAATCTTATTGGTTGGTGAACCTAGAGATTCATCCTAGGGGTGAACGCAAGAATTTCTCGGCCAATAAAGTTAATCAACCATTTTTGCACATTTTTCCATTATTATTTATACGATGTTCATAGTTTTGTAAAGTGTGCTCTTCACTACTAACCAACGTGACATATACATCATTATCCATGCTGAACCCTTGCCAAGAAAACACTCAACTGATTCAAGTCAAGCTTCTACGAAGATGGAAAATCAAATTATCATCTCCTCGATTGTACAAGTTGAAGTTGATTTTGGTCGATTCTGAGGTTATTTGTTACTAAATTTTTAGCTCTCTTCTATATATTTTTACTTTTATAGAATATTTTGGGAGCATGTACTAAATTGTTTTATTTTTTTGTACAACGTCTATTCCTCATGAATCTGTTTTATACTTTGTCGATGACGTCCGGGAAAACAATTGGTATTCTGTCAAAGATTTTAGGATAAAGACAAACGTTGGTAGAACCATGACAACCAACAACATCTTTAAACTCAAATTCACTATATCAACCATAGTTTAGCCCATTCCTTCTGTATCATCTTCGTTGTACTTCCATCCTACCTGTTTCGCTGATATTGTCCATAGGAGGCTTGACTTCCAAATTGCTGTTGGTACGTAACAATTGTTCACCTATAATTTAAGATTCAGTTTATTACTTAAAAAGTTATAATCTTGTGTATGTTAATGAAAATATTTATTTCAGTTGTTATCGGCATGGTAATTAGTTGTGCACCAATCTAATTGCTTTGGAATGAAGAAACAAAGTTCAACGACCTTGCATTTCTGAGTTTCACAATAGAAGATGATAGGTATATTCATTAGGGTTATTCATTATCACTGTATAATACTACATAAATATACTATGTGTTGTCATAATATGTTTGTTATATACATAGGGAATGTAGATTCGAGTGCCAAGCGGTAGGTGACAATGCCGTTCAATTTGAGAAAAATTGTGTTCGTTGTCACCAATCTGGTGATCTTGAAATATGCTTATTACGATTTGGCATATTAATCAATTCCCAAATGGTATTATTTTGTTCTTCTTCATTCGGTTAAATTGCATACTGCATCAATATGTATTAATTTACCCCCAAGTTTAGTTTTTCTTATAGGTAAGCACGAATTCAATCAGGTACTATGGAACCCTGATGTACCTGAAGTTAATGAGTTACGAGCAAGGTATGTTATATGAATAATATTTTGAAATATAAGTGTATATTCCTTAAGAAAGAATATTTATTCTTATTTGATTATAACTATAAACGCAGGTTCTTTTACGCACTTGAATCGGACGACCACTCATCAGGATAGGGTGATGGTTGTGTTGGAAACTAAAGCGTCGTCATTTTGTGTTCTGTGCCTTTTCATGTTGTGTTAAGTGTTTGTTTATTCATGTTGTATTATTGTTTAAACAAAATAGTTGGGTAAAATTATTTTTTTTCTTCACTTTTTGCAATATATTTTACTTTTAATTTAAACAAAACAGTAGGGTAAACAAAAAAAGACCAAAGTCAGCAAAAATCTATTTAGTTTATTTATAGTCACAAAAATTTCCTATTTCTAAAATTAGTTTACATTAAATATATTTTTGTTAACTTTGGTCTTTTTTTGTTTAGAAAAATGGACTTAACTGGTTAAAGAAAATCGCCCTTGAAAATTTAGTTTTGTTTTAGAATGTTCTTTGGCACCTAATTCTCAGAGTTTGGTCTCAAACAAACTCATAAAGTACTGGCAAGGCACTAATATGTTTTGCAAGGAAAACATAGAGTATTGGCAAGGAAACCGTAACGGATAGGCCCAAACTTTAAAAATAATAAAACTACGTCGGTGTTGATGTTGTGGATTAAATTGTTTTAACGATATTTCATATTCTCTTTGTCTTTTAAAATTTAAAACCACTGATCAGATTATAAATAAAATAATTTATTTTAATTCTTATACGAAAATTTCTCATTTTAATTTCTCTATAAATAGAGATTAGGTGTATTTAATTTGGATATAAAAATAGTTATTATTATTAGTAAAATAAGGTGTTGAATTTTATTCAACAAAACCATTGTAGTAGGTATGAGTTGAATATGTGTTGAATGATAAGGTGAAAGAAAGAGAAAATAATATGGAGGGTGTTGAATCTTGAAACCATTGTACATACGATACTAATGAATACAATATATGATCTTGATGAAATGGTTCACCAGCTAGTCGACAAAAAAGGAAAAAAGAAAAAGGTTTGACCAGCTGGTGAACCATTTCATCAAAACCATTTTATCAAAATCATATAGTAATTATAAGGAGTAAAGTGATAAGAAAATTAATACAAAAAAATTATATGTAAGATATAAAAATATAAGGACTAAACTGAAAAGTGAATAGTATTTTGAGGGCTTAAACAATGGATCCTCAAATTTAAGGTTTCATTATTCACGTCCTCAATATTTGAGGATTTGAGGGTCTCTTAGAGAGTCAAAAACCTCAAAATTTGAGGGTTTGAGGGCCTCTTGGAGATGCTCATGGGCTCATAACCTAAAAGAGGCCACTAGGATACTTAGTGCCCCCATCATATAAAAGAAAAACTAGGTTTTATGACTCAAGAGTACTTCACTCTGCAAACGGTATCACACTCGCTCATTCCTTTTCATTTCCCCCTCTCAGATTCAGACATCTCGACATGGACGGAGTTGGACCGCACAACATCTTACAATCTCTAGATAGCTACCTCGTTAACATTAGGCTACGCATAAGTCGCCTCGAAGTATCTGTCTGTAAATAGATATATTAACATTTAATGGATTGGTGCCATTGGTATAACTATAAATTACGTGTACTTTTAGATAAATAGTTATTGACCCAACTATTTTTAATGTTACTAGGATCATGTTCATGAGGTTCTATGTGCAATTGCCCCGCAAATGTGCCATGTTTTTCTATGCGAAGACATCTGCAGCAGTGCAAATATAGCAGTACAATGGAAGGGCATTGTGTCTGCCCATTTAGCGGCTGCAGCTTCATTGGAACATACCATGAATTGTATGCCCACGCCAGCAGTGGCCACTCTGACGATCTGCAGATGATTGAATGTGGAGAAACAATGTCTATAAGCTTTGCTAATCATCAGAGGGTTGTTCTCAAGGAACAAAGTAGGAGAGGAGGAAAACTCATTTCTGTGAATCGTCTCATCCAACCAATTGGGGCATTTTTCCATGTAAGATGTATTTCGCCTAATGTTCTTGGAATGGGAAACTTCTCCTCGAAGCTGACGGTATGTTCAAAAGCTACATTGTAATATGAACGAATGATAATCGACAGAGCTAATATTGCAAGCAGCGAACTACCTCCTTCGCCTTTTGTTGTTCCTTCGTTCATGGGTCCTGCCACTGAGGTTCTCATATTAATCAATAGGGTTGAGCCTGTAGGTTAGGGAGGTCGGTGATAATGTGTGTTGCAGTTTACTTTTCGAACCTTTTCAAGTTTGGAGTTTGTGTTTGTTAACTTTTGTTGTAATTGGTGTGAATTAAACCCTCTTATTATTGATAATTTTTCTGCTTACTCATGACATTAAGAAACGAAGAAATTTGCAAAAATATAACTAAATTGATCTACAAGAAGATTTAACAACCTGAAGCTTACCAATACTCACCTGCTTGCTTGCCAATACTCAGCTTTTATCTTGCCAATACTCAGCTATTATCTTGCCAACATGTTAATTGTTCGCTTGAATCCATTAAGGGTGTAAAGGTAACTTTCACCTTTTAACAGAAGAGTGGAGGGGCATTTGCCTCACATTTAATTTTTATTTTTCGTCTTCAATTCATTTTCTCTTCTTCGTCTTATGCCGTTCGAGATCTTGTATTAATCAGTACCCGTCGGGCGATCTCAACGGAGCTTAAAAAGGTGAAACATTCCCAAAACTTACACTTACTTCCGTCTAATTTCCGAATTAGGTTTCCGATGTGTCTAGGTCTCTCTTTCTGTTTAATTTGTTTGATTAAAAACAAGTATGATATAAAACCCACCTTCTTCCTCTATTTCTAGGGTAAATCTTTTTGGGCCTCTGTTTCTGTGTAAAATTTCTGATTAAACCTTCCTCTATTTCAAAATTTATATATAATTTGCCTTATCAAGCCTTTCCCAGGATACGCAAGCCTTGCTTTTTTTTCAGCCGGTTCTTCTCCCTAGTAAACCCTTCGTCCTCTTTGTTTGCTTGATACTATGGAGTTCCCTCAAAGTTTGTTTTCCGACAAAAAGAGGCCAGATCCAACGAATTATATAAATTACAGGTCTACTTTCAAGTCTCTGAAAGCAGTAAAAGATGTAGTTAGTGTTGAAGTGTGGGAGTATATTCAGAAGTCTCCACTAGGGATAATTATCATGTACATGAATCTGGAATTTTCATGGAGCTCAACATCGGTTCATTATGTTCTTTCTAGACAACTCTATTGCAAGAAACGACATGAGCTTTGGTTTTTGATAAATGATCAGCCTGCCTGTTTCTCGATATCTGAGTTTGAAGATAAAACATGTTTAAACTGTGAACCAATACCTAATACAATAATAGTGGAAGATGTTGAGAAAAGTAATAGTTTTTGAGCGCTCTTCAACCTGAAACGCTCTGAATCAATCCCAAGCGCTGAGGACATACGTACACTCTGTCGTCGGTCTCCTGATGTTTCCAAACGCTGGTCTAGGGAAGACCAGATTAGGCTGTGTTATTTGGCCATCTTGACAGGCGGTTTACTTGGCCTTGATTGAAGACAATCTATCACTCCTGCTCAAGCAAAGCTGCTTATGGAGTTGGAGATTTTTGAGCAGTATCCCTGGGGAAGTGTGGCTTTCGTTGAACTTGTTCGGGAGATTAAGAGAGCAACTACAACTAATATCAAGGAAAACTGTTATGTCTGCAAGGGGTTCATGCAAGTAATCCAGATTTGGGCTTACGCTTATATACCCTTTCTTGGAGAAGCAATTGGGCGTCCTATCAGGTTAAATGGTCCATGCTTAGTAAGCATTGCTTACTGAGGTTCAAAGGCTACGATGGGAAGCTCCGCTTGGGTGATATACTTGAGAAAGCGAAGGTATGTTAACTTCGTATGGATTCATCAAAACTTTGTTTTCTAATTTCTCTTGACAACCACATAATTTGTTCTACATGTAACTTGTATGTCCCCGCAAAGCATAGATAAAGTTCATCCAGTTTGGGAACACCAAAATGAGGATCCTGAGATTGACAATCTTTTGGAGTTCCTTTGCCAAGACAAATCCCTGAGTACCATTACTTGGCAGGCCCTGCCAAAGTACCCATTGACGCCAATTCATTCTAACAAGCGTAAGCTGATTGCAATCCGGAGGAAATCGAAGAAATCAAAGAAGGTGGCAAGCAACAGGCAAGAGAACATAGCTGATGGAGGTTAAAATTATGGTGATATTGCAGAAACTGAAGAACAAGAACAAAGCGATGATGTTTGAATTTTCATTATACAACCAAGAAAGACCCCAACACAAGAAGTGAATACTGCCAGGTATTTTTTTTAAACTGTTAGAAGAAAAAGTTTAGCTCTTGGAAAATTAATTAAATAGTGAACCAATCTCAGCATTTTTGCAATCTTCGGGTGGCAATAACAACGATAATATAGCATCTCAAATTACTCAGCTGGAAGAAAATATCCTAGTCAAAATACCCGCACACGATCGGTTCTCTAACACAAAGCTACCAGCAAAACTTGCTACACCAGTGCTATGTCAATCGTTTCAGTAAGCAATGGCAAGGCAACATTATGTGATTTTTTTTTAATTTCCTTTGAGATTAATGTTGTCTTATGTCACAGAAATTAGAAGGCAGCACAGGAGAGACAACAGTAAAATGAATTGATGGACACCAGGACCCGGGAAAAGAATGTGGAAACAAAGAAGAAGGAATACTAGTCAGGGAAGGTCACCCAGAGAACCCAAAGAAAGAGAATGCATGAGAAGACAAACTGCCTTGAGGGCGAAGGTATAGCTGTTGGAGAGATTGCACCACAAACAGCAAGGGAATATCGCCCAGACACACAGAGGAAGAGAATGCGGGGGAAGACATGGAAGAGGAACTGCCATTAGAGGCCGAAGGCATAGATGTTGGAGTGAGTGCACCACAAAAAGTATGGAAAGATCACACAGACAACCCACTGGAAGAGAATGCAGGAGAACAAGGCGATGGACAACAAAGACATGAACAAGGACGATCAAAATCCATTAGTTTATGGAATCGTGAAGGAAATATATCAACATCACGTGTCGGAGGAAACCGAGCCCTCAAATAAACAAGTTCACTGCTTGTTAATACCAAACGTTGAAGAGCTTTCAGAGTCCAATAAGGCTGTTACAGTATCGTCAGAGTCACTCAACCCACATCCTTTCACACAAATGAAGAAAAAAGACAAACTTGAAACCACTTCATCTGCTTCAGTCACCACTACCGTGCCTTCTAAAGACTTGGCAGCTAAAGTGGCTGAGAGAAAGACCATCCTTTTGCAGTATCAGGAAAAGCATCCCCCTCCTAGGTATGAAAGGAATATGATCCCGTTCTTGTCGCAGAATCTAAGAAGCCCATTTGAACCTGGCACCCAAGTAAAGGGGGTTTTGACAGATATGGGAAGGTTTATACGTTAACCAAACGGGAGGAGGTTGTATATGGGTCAGTTGCAGAGTCATATGTTGAAGAGCTAACCCAATTTATGAATATAAAGTAAGTATCAAGTGGATCCTATTTAGGTCCATATTCCACGCGAACTTCATTTCTCATTTTCATCTGCAGGGATTCTGTTTATCCAATTGGCTCAACGACGAGCGCCAGTCAATTCTTCGACGTACTTCTAAAGCCGTGGGCATGGTTGCTAGACGATGTAAGAGATCTTTCATTTGACACATAATTAGGTCAGTTTTGTTGGTACTCTATTATATTTTCATTCCTTTTGTAGCACATGGACGCAGCTTTAAGTTTGTATAGATTAAGATTCCAAAAACACCCAAGTATGTTCCAATCTTCAAGGATTGCTATTATGGACATAGCTTTCCAGATGCTGTGGACACATCAGTACAAAAACTGGCAAGAAAATTCAGTCCTTCCTGGTGGTACCTATTTCTACTACTACGGCATTGCTCCATGATATGCTGCAACCAAGATGTGGTGGGTGGAAAATGTGGATACGCTCTTTTCGTGTCTTAGTGTGCATCACAACAGTCATTGGGTAGCCATGATTATTTCCATCCGGGATCAAACTATCAAAATCTATGATAGTTCGAAACCTAAGAAACAGAATAATAGGTTAAAGGAAGCAGCGGAGATGTTTGCTAAAATGCTTCCCCACGCGTTATGGTTTTATGCAACTCAGGATCAAAAGCCATATGTGGATCTTACTGAATTTACAATCGAATGCATATCGGAAGGGGTTCCACGAGCAACATCCCCATATGGGGACTGTGGATTTTACACTAAAATTCCTTGAGTGTCTAATGATGGGTGTTGGTTTAAAAGAAAAACATCTTTGTGATAAAAACATGATGACAGTGAGGAGAAAACTCGCAGCAGAGATGTATGTAGGAACAAAAAGAGCAGGAAAGGATATGTTGGATCCCGAATTCGTAACAGAGGTGATTGATAGGTAATGGATTTTACGCATTTTTAACCATGACCTAAATGTGATTTTTATATATTTCATAAGTATTTGGAACCTTTTTAGATTAATTTACAAGTTTAGGGACTTATGAAGAAAATGGATGTTTTTGGAGCATTTTGGAGACTTTAAAGAGCACTCATGCCGATCTGAAAATCGATCAACGTTGCAAGACGAGAACCGACCGGCACAAAATTGTCTGCATCGATCGATTCATATACCACCCGCGAATTTACAACAAAAATTAGAAGACCTCAAGTTTTATAAAAATTATGATAATTGTAAGATTAGTCCCTAGCCGCCTACAGGCTACACTTTTAGGGTTTTGAGCTATTTTAAAAGGAGAGCTTTACTTAGAGTTTTAGAGCCAGTTTGGAGAGCTACTTGTTTTACCATTGAAGAGAGTTTTAAGAGATTAGAGAGAGAGATCTGAGACTACAAAATAGAGAAGATCTTGAACTCCTTTGTTTCTTACTATTATTTACTTTGCTTCTTGTTTACACAATAAGTTTTATTCAAACCATCATGATGTTGTCTTTCATGAATATGTCTGAGTACATTTGTTATATTTAGGTTTCTTTCTCATTTGGTTGATTTATGTGTTGATTTATGACAGCTGTTTAAGTGTTTTTCATCTGTTCTTCAAACTTAGTTAAGCTTGCACTAGATTTAGGATTGATCAGCCTAAAATCTAAATCCTAGGTTTTTAATTGAGTGGAATAATTATTTACTCATTACCTGAATGCTAACTAGTTTGATCTAATTCAATGGATTCATACGACAGTTGGTCTAAAGAATTAGAGAATAATATTAACCTATTCTTAAAGCTTGCTTGAAGAGTTGTCGATCGTTGTGAGCATTCTTTCATCGACCGATTACTTGAAAGGTGTATCGATCGATTATCCATCAGGATAATCGACCGACTCTTTTTCGCGATCACAACTACCAGTTGAGATCCGACATATAGACAAGGAAACCCGTTTTTTTGGTTATTAGTGTTTGAGTTCATGAACAATCTAAAACCTTAAAAGTCAGAAACCAATTACATACTGATACCTGAGATACTACCTAGGTCTAACTACTTTCCTCGCTGAAATCTACTTCCAGTCCAAGTTACTGAATAATCATCTGTTTGCTTTACTTTAATCATTGCTTTAAACAATTTAAACCCATATTTAGTCTAGCTATACTTTATTACTTAGTTCTTTTGAGTAATCCTAGAGTCCTTGTGGATTCGATCCCTAAGTGCTACACTGAACCTCTTATTTGAGAGAGCAATTCACTCCTTAGGGTAATTTGAGTGATATCAGTGATTGATGAGGCGTGTGTGCCAACAGTACAGAAATTAGAAGGGAGCACATGAGAGACAACGGTACAAGGCTTGTCTGAGCTAAGTAGACTTTCTGTGCAGCATTTTTTGTGAACGTAAACTGACAAGGAAACACACGTTTCATTATCGTTTTGGATATTACTTTTTCAACTGTTTCATTGCTATTAAAATGTCATACCTTCCCGACATTTTGCGAAGTTTAGATTTTTCCATTAACTAGTGTGTATCGAAAAGAAATTTTTTTTTTTAGCTTTTAAAAGGAATCAAAAGATACATTGGCAAGGCGATGATAATATACTCGCAAGCTTAAGGCAGATTAAAAGCAAGTGAAGAGCAATCCTTCAACAACTTTCCGGATCATGCAGAATCTCTATTCAAAAATCTCCCTCTTTTTTTCTGCATCAGTCTCCTCATTCATTTCCTGCAAAAACATCCTTCACAATCTTTCGTGCGTATCAGAACATTCCATCAAAAGAGTAATGACTAACAGTTCAAGCACACATGCACGGAAAAAAATGCAAAAACAAAAGATTTACGATAGGTTTAAGTTCACATTATTATATGCCGAGATATGAGCACAAAATAAAGTTTTAACAATCACTTGAAAAACATGCAACAATCCGAAATCATTAAAACTGAAATATTAAAACTAAACAATCCCCCCCCCCTGAATGAGAGACGATAAGACAAAAAAACATACTTCACTCGATCATCTTTCATCCCCTTGGTCAAGCATGTTTAAATATGGTCCCCAGATGTTCACCGGTGTGCCAATCAGATCCTCATTGCCAGCTAGCGCCGGAATGTCCTTTTGAAACAACAGCACCTGATAGATCAAGCTTGACTAGATGATCTTCTGCTCTGGATCATACTGACGAGCCATCATTCTGACCTGATCATACAAGAGTTCACCAAAGTTGATGGCTCGGCGATTTGCAATGGCATAGACCAATCGGAGACGCATTTTGATGATAGCATCAGTGTCAAGACCCGGCAGCCAGTTTATCTCACAGACTCTTAGAGAGTGTCGTAAAGGGGCAATGAGACCAGTAAGGTGGAAATTAGACCACCTGGAAAAACTATAGCCAGTAAGCACATATATGGCCAGAGACAGGTCAAAACTCTCCCAATCGAATGAGCGTTCAACAGCTGGCGTTAACAGCACAGTGTTCAAGACATCAGCATCAAACGCAAAGTGAGTTCCTCGGATGAACACTCCATCAGCCGTCTTGCCAACGTTCGAAATGAGTTCCCTAACGACTCTAGGACAGAAGGGTTTCACATCCAAGATAGTGTATGTCCATCCAGAAAACCCTTGAAGACACAGCTCTTGATATTTCAGGCGAGCGACCTCGTTTTTGTGACATCTCGTCGGAACACCCAACGGAAACTGATCGAACACAAGCAGCGCTCGAGTAGAAGTGAGACGCTGATTATACGAGAGATAAGGAGAAGGAGTGGAAGGGGCAAGTTCAAGTATATTCGCCATAAATCACCGAGAGGTTTCAACAAAAAAGGATTTAGAAGCCCTAGAAATGATTTCGAGAACCAAGAGAAATAGAGCGAGAGAGAAGGTCACTCAAACGTCCCGTCACGACTTTATACCTTCACTTGGCTTGAACAACACACCAGCCCTTCTTTTTTGCAAGCCGAAGCCCACAAGCCAACCAAAGCCCAAAAGACATCAGCGTAATGTAGGTCCGATAGATTTAGTTTGACATACATACATAACTCAAAAATGTTACCAATCATGAATTAGTTTTGAATTTTTGAAGTTGTATTTGAGTTATATTGATTATTGTTGAGTTACAGTTTTGAGTTATGACCTTTAAAAAAGTATAACTCAAATATTAAATCAACATCAACAAAAATCTCATGTATTAAGAATTGAGTTAAAAAAAAAAATTTTGGGTTTTCTAATAACTACACACGTCAATCTTTTTTATTTTTAAGAAATTCAACAATTTAAAAAACATGATCTAATAGTTTAGTACGAGTAGTTCTGTTAATTTATACAGTATATATGATATTTTAACATAGCTATCTACTTGTTAGCCAAAGATTTCTCAAAAAAAAAAATTTCACTATAAATAGTTAATGAAATTGTTTTTTATATTTTTAATTCTCAATTTTCTTGGTAACTAAAAATTTATGTACATGAATTATATATATATATATATATATCTTTCGTTAATTTTTAAGTAATTATATTTTAATTTTCTATAAATATTTTTATTAACTGTGTGTTTAATATTATTTATTGATTTTTATAATTTAAATAATTCTTACTACAATTTATACATCAAAAATGTTTCCAATCAATTATGTTGCTAAAATAGTAACTCATACTTACATCAAACTTATCACATAAATCTACAGTTTTTATCACATAGTTCTTACTGCAATTTACATCAAATGATGACTTTTATCGTAACTCAGCTCTAATACTACATGTCACCAATCGAAGCCTTAAGCTGGCGACTCCCTGGCCGCTGACATGTTGTTTCCTTGTGCTGTACAACTAGGTAAACTTAAAAAACTCTAGGTAACTATTTGGTCCCACTAGTATGTATACAAGCCAAAAGTTATATTTATTTAAACCAATATTTTAATAGTTTATTTTATACTCACAAAAGAACTATCCCTTTTGGCTGTTGCTTTTGTCAATTGCTTACTTGCTTATTAATTTCTGTGAGTTAAGTACAAGAGTAATTGTTCCAACATTATTACAAACCTAACCACTAAGGCAAATAGTTAATGCATGAAGGGTAATATTTTCTTGAACAATGAATGCATATCTTACATCTGGCCTAAGTTAGGAAAATAGAAATATAAAAGGCAAGCTGTGTCAAACTTCCAAACTTCGGAATGGTTTCCCTTGCCTACAAACATAGCGTATGTCTTTTAAAGCATGCTACAAACATTGGAACATATCCAAAAGAGTATGCAATATTTGCATGACCCTTCAAAATCGTCCGGATAGTTTTTAGATTCTCTAATGACTCAACAAACGTATAAAGAGGAGAGGAATTTATGGGTGTCAAATTATTTGGGTGAGTTAAGTACAAGAGTAAATGTTCCACCAATATTACAAACCTAACCACGGTGGAAAATTGTTAATGCATGAACAATAACCTTTTCTTGAATAACGAGGGGAGTTCCC